GGGTAATGTGATGGCAACCAATGTTTTTCTCTCTTTTCTGTTTGGAGTATACTGTGTGAATTTTGTTTTTCTTTTGGTTTACATTGAGATTCATAAGGAACTAAAATGATGCATAATATTTTGAACAGATATATTTTTATTCTCTGTTAATGCAAACTTATGCAATAAAAAGTATTTAAAAAAAAAAGAAAGATCAGGGCTGATCTCTGCTAGCAATAGCAGGTGAATTTTATTTCTAGTGGTTCAAGCAGTACTTGACAGCCAGGAGCTCTTTTTCCCATGAGCCGCTCTAGGAATCTGTAAATGTAGTGGCCAAAATGTCCTAAAAAAAGGTACTCTAGTGAAGAGACCTACAATATTTTAAGCATGTCAGATGAGAGTCAAGAGGAAGCCACACAGCATCCGCATCATAATACGAACCTGTAGAGAGCAGCGGTACCCTGACAGGGAGCTGCAATGATAGAGAAAAGGTCAATGTTAAGATCAGGTATACCCAACCCCAGGTAGCTAAAGTGCTAGGAATGAACGATTTGTCTCATATGCAGCAGAGTCCAAGTACTAGCATTGCACTACTTTTTGGTGGTCTGGCAAACACTAGTGGCCTAGTACATCCTGGCATTTTAAACACCAGCACCAGTATCTCATGGCAACATGGCGAGTCCGAGAAGTGCAGTCCAAGCTGGTGAGGTGGCTAGCACTAGTAGCATTCTGAAACCACCAAGAATTCGACAGGTCCGTAGAGCCTGTGTCCTGTCCAACCTGTTCTCTTCCCCAAGGACTGCTTCCTTTGCTACCACACACTAGTGAAGTATTAGTATAGGGTACAATCTAGGGCACACAATTCACACACAGAGGTCTTGAAAGATGTTAGGTTGTCAGGAAACTGTCACATTTTGAGAGACCCTAAAATCAAAGGTTGGAAAGCGTACAGTTACAGTCCTGATAAGTTACAAAAAAAGTAACGAAAAAAAAAGCAAAAAAAATAAAAGTTAAAAAAGAAAAAAATTAAAAATATACAATTTAAAAAAAAGGTTGTTTTATTTTTTTTATTGTTTTATTTGTTAATGTTATTTTATTTCTGTATATTATTGTTAACCATTCTTTGCTTTGCAGGAATGTCAATCAGCTGCAGCACTGACCTGTTTATTATGACAACAATAGGGTGTTGCTCTCAGAATATATACATCAGTGCTTGCTGCACTGCAGGAGGAGAGTTCTCATCTGCAGATAAAAAAAGAACATATATGCCTAATCATGAGGGGCCTGAGGTGGTTAGTGGGCGGATCGCTCATAAGCTTCGAGATATATTTTTTTTAACTTTTTTTGGCTGAGATTTTTTCATCCATTATTGATGCAAATGGAGGAATCTATTAGGCTCTCTTTTTCAAAAAAATAGGTTCTTTTTTCAAAAAAATAAGTTCTTTTTTCAAAAAAATAAAATTCATATATTCAAATAAATAAATGTTGCCTACGTTTTTGGAAAATGAAGAAAGAAAACAAAAGTGTATTTTCGATTTTCTTTTTTCATTTTCAAATTCTTGTGACAAAAAATATGATCTGCAGAATACTCACTATGCCTCTTATCAAATTCCTTGGGGTGTTTACTTTAAAAAAAAAGTTATGGGGGGGTGTTTGTACTATCCTGGCATTTCAGGGCCTCCGAAACTCTGATAAGTAGTGGGGAAGCAACATGGGGAAATACAGGAGAAACAATAGGAAACAGGAACAATAAATATTTCACACAAAGAAATCGATACAAAAAGAACAGGATACTGTACATGATACAGTAGGCAGGCACATATCAGGAATATGAAATATTGGATTGACATATTCTTTTTTTTTTAATAGATATGTTTATTGAGTTCTTACAACACCCCAACAACAATTGGTCATATGGAGACACTGAACAACTAGGGTACTAGCTGCATGAGGACTGTCTATCCAGCAGCTCCAAACATTCTTATAGAGCCTATGGCATTTACGGAGCTCATAAGTTAGCCTATACATGGGGAGATTACTATTGACCATAGCCTTCCAAGCTTCCAAAGACAAGAAAGGGGCACCCTTCCATAACATAAGTATAATTTTCTTAGCATAGAAATAGAGTAGCAGTAACAGCCTTTTATTATGGGTAAATCTCCACAAATGACCAAAAAGCAATTTTTGGGGTGCAAAATATTGGGCAGTCCCAAAGCAGAGGAAAGAAAAGCATTGACTTCCGACCAGAAAGCAGAGACTATTGGGCAGTTCCATAGGCAGTAAGGGAAGTACACGTCCACTCCACAGCCCCAGAAACAAGCCGTGAGGGGTGCAGACCCAGTCTGTGCAGCCTGGCAGGGGTGCAATAGCTAAGATGAAACAGCTTAACCTGGATAATATGGTTCTCGGAGGCTATAACAGCTTAGTATAATAAAGTTCAAATTCAGTCTCATCAAGTGAAAGATCAGGCGAAATCCATTTCAGCTGAGCTTGTGCATTTCTAGGACGTGTCTTCGTACATAATGCCAAGTAGTAGTCTGAGATCAATCTATTTGGGCCTAAGGATCGAAGAAGCTTTTCTAAAGGAGATATACAGCTGCGGTTGGTCAAGTAGCCAAATTGTTTCCTGATAGCATGCCTGATTTGGTAATAATAGAATAAATGGGTATTGGGGAGATGAAAATCAGCTTGCAATTGAGAAAGATTTAAATGTTTGACCAGCGTAGATTTGATGCAGGTATTTAACCCTTTAGCAGACCAGCGTTGAGGATCCAGGATAGAAAAAAGTTCCAGAAGAACAGGATTATGCCACAGCGGAGTGGGTTGATACAGGGGCGGACTGACAACTCATGGGGCCCTCGGGCAATAGGGGATCATGGGGCCCCTGTGTCCTTGCCCAAACTCAAAAAAGCCTATGAAAAAGGTACCAGGGGCATCTCATGGGGCCCCCTACTGACCCCGGGCCTTCGGGCAGTGCCCAAGTTACCTAATGGTCAGTCCGCCCCTGGGTTAATATATTCTTTAACACAACATGATGAATGTCTTGTAGCATCAAATAGTTCTGGACACTAGTCATTTGAAATCTATGCCACTTGTAGATTTTTTTCCCCTACAGTAGAATAATTACTTTCAAATTGTTTGCCAAACTTTTAAATTTCTTGCCAAATTCATAGACATCCACAACTTTCTTACTGAGGGCCTTAGAGAGCTCTCTTGACCTTGGCATGATGATACCACACATATTAACATCACAAAGAAAACCAGACCCTAGATATCAGAGGTTTAAATAAGACTGGTTCCACCTGCATACTGCCTAAGGAGGATCTAATCAGTGGCACCTTAAACACTGAATCTTGAAGATACAATTCTAATTTTATAGATTTGAAGTGATTGGAAATGTTGTTTATATATGTTTTCCATATGACAAATCTGCATTTTTATTAGTTTAGATCATTAAAATGATTACACAAAGCAAAGTTATATGTCATTTGTTCAAGTATATCACGATATGTAGGCACTGTCTGTTTAAATCCACTGAAAATGTCAACAATTTCAAATGGGTGTACTTACTTTTTCATATGAATTTTTGTGTATATTTACATAACTGTCAAACACAAGTCCTAAAAGATAGCAGAAGAAACTTGTCTATCAGCACTCTTTACCATAAAAGTTTCAGTGAACATACTCTATATGTGTATATATAAAAGAGGTGTAGCGCTAAAAATCCATATAAAACAACAAACATATGCCAATATGTCCACATATATTGTAAACATATGTAAGCCCATAAACGGATATATAGTCTGATAATACAGCGGATGAACTTGTGATTCCAGCCAAAAGTGAAAAATGCGCACTCACCGGAAGCGCATAGATAATGCGCATATGTAATAATCCTCAAGGTATACTGGTCTATCTGGTGAACTTTTCCTCATGGTACAGTCATCAAGCCTTTAGGAAAGCGTTAGAATCCACTGGTTCCAGAGGTCCTTCTTAAGATTAGTGGGGTAATCAGCCTGGATAGGATCTCTCATTCCTCTGGGTACTCACTGCTGCCTGTGGGCTTAATAGCTCCATCTATATGTGGGACGGAGTTGTCAACATTGTTCTAGAATGCCAAAAAATGTGTTTTTCTGACAAAAACTTTCTTAACGAATTACATATATGTTAAACAGAGCACTCCAGAAGCTGAATAAGGGACTATTAACATCTGTCTTGAGTATCAATGTATTTTTTATAATGTGAGTTTATGTAAGCAGGAATCTCTCTTTATTTTTTATGTTTCATTTTTTTCCCTGTGCTATTTTACTATCTAACAACATAGCAAAATACTGGATATTGGCTTGATATAAATGTTGTTTTATCCTAATTCAGGGAGATCTGAGAAAGCACTTTACCTTTTTATCTATCTCTGACATCTGTGACTAAGGCTGGTCATGCACAGTCAGAGTATTCACCAATACCTGCATCAGATTGCTAGTGCTATCTGCAGATTTCCTCTATTTCCTGCAGAGAAAAGGGAATGATCAATAAAAAGTTGTTTTCCATAACAACCTCACATCTCTTTGTCTGACAGCAGATGCTACCAATACTAATAAGTATTATAAGCATTCAGGTACTAACCCATACATGGCCCAGTTGTCAGCAATGTATAAACTCCTTTTATCATCCAGGAATAATCCAATCATTTCAGTGACTGACGAATATCATGTTACTGAAACTGATCTTCAGAAAGTGATACATATTGATACAACAATCTTATCAGCTCCATTCTGCAATGAAACCCTTAGAGAATTAAAGGCAATAAGTAATGCTGCTCCTTCCGGTTGTGCATAAGAACGATGATTCTATTCTGCATTGATGCATGACATCTTATATATCATTTAAATTGCATGTTTGTTCGCTGCTCTTAAAATAATGATCATGTTGATTAGTTGCTACTTGGATGTGTCAGAACAGCTGATATATCAAGGTAGCAATAGGTGGATAATAAACACATTTGTGATCTTTCCAATGAAGAGAAACAGAATTTGAGGGCCTGCAACACCTCAGTCTGTATTTTTAGTGATCCTTACAGATTGATCACTTCTTAATTTAAAAAAATGTAAGCTAGTATTATGTCACCTGCTCCTTGGAGCAGGGGCGGACTGACAACTCATGGGGCCCCCGGGCAATAGGGGATCGTGGGGTCCCTGTGTCCTCACCCACACTCAAACCACACCCAAAAAAGCCTATGAAAGGTACCAGGGGCATCTCATGGGGCCCCCTACTGACCCAGGGCCCTCAGGCAGTGCCCGAGTTTCTGAATGGTCAGTCTGCCCCTACCTTGGAGTGATTCATTAACTCCATTCTGTCAAACGACATGGTGTCAATGGATATGGTTTCAATTCACATCTAACTATAAGGACATTTTTCTTTTGTTTTTCTCCCCTTTGGAACATTTCTTCTCAGGAAAAAAATAGTAGAGGGGAGTGGGATGGGAAGAGAAAAATTGGGAGCAAATGGGCTAAATCAGAGATAATATGGTATGATGTTAGTATGATACTGATACTAGATGAGAATATGTGTTATTTGATATTTAATATTGTAACAGGAGGCTTACAGTATGTTTAAATTATACATATCAAGACTTTTTTTTTTTTTTTTACTTACTGATATACCTGCTTTATTGTATAAGAATTGCTACTGATTTCATATCTTGTCGGTGCTGATGGATGTAGCTGATTGTAAAAATATGTACATATATGAATACCCAGTTTAAACAAAGGTATAAAAAAATATTCTCCTATATATACACTACACCCTGCTCTAGAAGCCATTTTGCTAGTAACACACCACTGTCAAATAGCATGCACCTTCGAGATTCAGCCACCAGAACACTACAATAACCCGACCAGTAACTCCCCTCTCTATGTTCTCTGAGTTGCTCACCAAGATTGTTCATTCATATAGTTACCAGTTGTATTTTAAGCTACACAACCGATGCAGTTTGTTTACTACATTGACTTTACAGAGATTTCACACTTCTGATAGTGAATAATTGTCCTTACAGTGTTACTAAACCTAGGACTCTGCATTCACTATATCTGGTCTCCCACATTACATACAACATGGAAATGCAATTATTTTAGTAAACATAAACTGCTAAATACCTTTTCTTATCAGCAGTATATAGCAGTCTTGTGTCTTCTGTCCTATGAGGCTGTATGACCCCTGACCCTTTGCCTGGACAGTGCTGATTGGCCCTGTGCTGATCACATGCACCCTCTCAAAACAAAAACTCTCTAGCAATACACACCAAACTGAGCATGTGCAGAGTGCCTTCTAGGGCTCCGTACTATCAACAGATGGATTGGGGACTGTGGAAGATGGGGAGGATCAGAGAAGTCAGGATCAAACATACTTTTCACACAATGCAGAGGATTAACCCCTTAGGTTCTACAGGGAGTATGGCAAGCATACTTTACTGCATATACAGACTGATTTTACTGTTGTGGGTTTAGTAACAATTTAATAGACATAGCATATGAAGTTTAAAAAATCTGCTGATTTAAATTGCTCTTTAATTGCCTGAGCTCAAGTTTTCTTTAATTACAGTTAGTGTTGATTCATCATGGTTGCATGCTTGCAGGTTGCAAAAGAAAAAAATGTCATACAACAACAAAACAAGCAGCAGGCCCTACATTCTGAAATGTTGCCTTACCGCAAGATCCAGGCTCAAGAAAAAAATGTTTACATTGAAGAATGGACAGATTATTTATAAATGTATCTCACAAAACTTGAACAAATATTTATCAGTAAACACTTTTAAGTGTTCATAGCACTTTAATGGTTAACTGGAAAGACTAGAAAGCAAGCTTTTGGACCACTGAGATTGCTTTGAGAGTTACATAGTTAGTCTGGCTGAAAAAAGACAAAAGTCCATCCAGTTCAACCATAGAAAAAAAAAAAAGTTATAATCCTATACCCACAGTTGATCCAGAGGAAGGCAAATAAAACCCAGCAAAGCACAATCAAAGTTACTCCTGCTGGAAAAATAATTCCTTCGTGATCCCCCGAGAGGCATTTGGATTTTCCCTGGATCAACTTTACCTATAAATGTTAGTATCCAGTTATATTCTGTGTATCTAAGAAACAATCCAGGCCTTTTTTGAAGCAATCCACTGAGCTGGCCAGAACCAGGCTCATTCACACATGAAGACTCTTTGGCAGAATACCACATACTACATATATACCTTTTATGCAGTATGCAAACCATAAAATACAGGTATATTAATTTTAGTTTTAAAGTGGTAGTAAACTCTTTGGAAAAAAAAAAAGTTTTCCCCTGCAAGGCAAAGGCATAATGTGCTGGTATGCATCGCATACTAGCACATTAAGAAGGACTTACCTTAAAATGAAGCCCTCCAGTGGTGCACTATCACTGCTGCAGAGGCTTCCAGCTTCACCTGGTCTTTCTTTTGGGTTTGCATGCTGCAGCTGCTTGAGTGGCCGAGAGGCAACGACTTCACTCCCATGCATGCATGCGAGAATCTCAGCTCTGAAGGAATGGCATGGGTATGCTGTTCCTTCAGAGCGCATGCACCAGTGACGCCACTGGCTGTTGTTTAATAGAATATCTCCTAAATGATGGACGTTTCAGAGATATTCATTTTACCTACAGTTAAGCTTTATTATAAACATACCTGTAGGTAAAAATAAACAAGAGTTTACTACCACTACCATTTATTCTATGTTCTATGTAACCCAAAATCAATGTTTTAGTATTTTTTTTGCATATAAGTAGAATCTTTGAACACATTTTTTTAATCTATCTTTTATCAATCTATTGCAAAGTTTCTGACCTGGAGAATCTACCAGTGATGATGCTAAGTCACAAACCTTAAAATTAGCAGCCATGCTGTCAGCCTGCTGTGTGCACTTCACTTGGTCATTGGGTGCCCTGCCTGGTCTATAGAGGGAGTGGGCACAGCAGGCAGACAATGCTGCAGCTAATTGGAAGGCAGTGGCTTAGTGCTGTCTGCTACAAGCAGAAGTGCTGCTATTAGCAGGACTTCCCGATATGAAATTATTCAGCAGATTCCAAAAAAAATGTGAATAAGAGAACTGTAGGTCACAAAGCATCATGACACATATTACAAAATAGACGTAAAACAGTAATAAACCCAAACCCTAAAATGTAATATATTGCAGCTTATCAATCAATAGATGTGGAAGCTACATTAGTTTTCTTTTTTTTAGGCTTTGGACAGCAACATTGTCAGTCTGGGGGGGGAGGGGCGGGGGGGGGGGGGAGGGGGTTAGATGCACTAGCAAATTTATATACACTAACAAATTGAAGCCAAACTTCAGCTCATACTGTTTAAGCAGTGCAGCAGTTTTTGCCTCTTGAGATAAAGGTTTTACATAACTATAAACTAACCATTGTAAGCACCCCTGTCAATGTTAAATGGTTTGTTACAACTCTAGCTGTCCCATCTGCAGGACAGCTTATTCTATTGAAAAACAACCGACTTCCAGGCAGAATCACAGAAAGAAAGGAAGAAAAAAAGAAAGAAAGAAAGAAAGAAAGAAAGAAAAAAAAAAAAAAGAAAGGAAGAAAGAAAGAAAGAAAGAAAGAAAGAAAGAAAAAGCCTAGTGCACACGAACAGAAAATCATATAAAAATACCGCTTTCAAAGTGATCACGTTAATCTATCGTATAGTGCACAACTTTCATCTGAAATTATTTGAAGGGACAAGCACGAATATTTTTCAGTACAGTTTTCAGCCGAAAATACAATGCAAATACATTACAATACATTACACCACTTCCAAATTTTCTTTCTGTCGTACAAGAATTTTCATAATTTTAGTAACCTCTTCACTTTCAATATGAGACTAGCATGCAAAAAAAACAGACGATTATCTGTCCGATATTCTCATCATGTGTACGGGGCTTAATACAGCCACAGCATCTAAGGAATTGGTAAGCTGCAATATAATAAATATTTTCTTTTGGTTTCAATACTGCTTTAAGGTTTACATACAATTCAAGGTATATCTAAACCAGCAATGGGCAAACTACGGCCCGCGGACCTTTTAATCCGGCCCGGCGGACCTTTTAATCCGGCCCGCGGAGTGTGATAAGAAAAAAAAACAGCCAGGGCAGGCAAACATTGGCTGTCAGGATGTGTGTAGGCGGGGCAGCGTGACGAACGTGAGGGGAGCTAGGCTCCTTTCACAGTCCGCGCTGAAGACCGGAACGGCGCGGGAACTTGGCGAGAGGAACCCGCGAAGCAAAGGTAAGCAAATTGACACAGAGGGGACTTGGCTTACTACTTGGGGGGGAATAGTACTATGGGGGATGAAATACTATATGAGGGATGAATTAATATGGGGGATGAATTAATATAGGGGGGATGAATTACTATAGGGGGGATGAATTACTATAGGGGGGATGAATTACTATATGGGGGATGAATTACTATATGGGGGATTAATTACTATGCTTACTATTATTACTATTTACTATGGATGGCATGGTAGTGTTTAAATTAATCTAAACATTTAATGTTACAAATTTTAATTTAATTTATATTAATTCACACATACACATCATTCATCTACTCTTGGTCCGGCCCCCAGGTCCAATATATGAACCCATTGCAGCCCTCAAGTCAAAAAGTTTGCCCACCCCTGATCTAAACTCACGAATGAACATTTCAGACATATAGATGTAATAGCTGCATTTGTTTACTTTTTTCAGGATAAGTACTATTTCTGCTAGTACAGGAAAATACTTTGGGATCCTGACAGAAATCAAGTACCCTTGTAACTTCCTGTTTGCTGAACTGAAATCCCAAATCTTATACATTTTCTAAGCTATATTCCACAAATGCCAACACCCCTCCTTTCTGTAATGTAAATAAGTAAAGCAGATGTTCGTAGTTCCAATCAGAACAGCAATGTCGGGTGTCAATACTGCACCTTTAAGTATGGTGAGTGAGCATTTTTGCCCTAGGACAGGAAGTGCATTGCTAGCAAACTGACAAGGTGCAAATACAGAAAAATGAAGCCTGAAAAGAGAAAATAAATGCAGGCACTACATCTAAAGATGTTATTTGGTGATTAAAACTGGACTACGGACTAATAGACTTTCACTATTTTCAACATTAATGATGGATCTCCATGCATAGATAGATGACTGCCAAGATCAAATAGCGTATTTACAGGTTCGTTACTTGCAGTTATAAGGGTTTAGAACTTTGGCCAAGTTGAAACCTGCTTAAGAAAATTAGAAAATTAGTCTTCTCACATCTCATTGAACCAGCTGGTGGGGAGGATGGTGATCATTTAAACAGTATATAGTTTAGATCTCAAATTCAACCATTTTTCATATTCTTGCAGTCCAATTACTCACTGGGACTGATCCGCATGTTTTTTTTCCAGCCAAAGAAAAATAATTCAGTAATATCCCTCTAAAGTAGCTTTTACCTTTTAAATTAAAAAAAACTCTTTTACTTGTGTGTTTCTGTTACCTTTTGTAATTTGTGAATTAATGCAGTGCTTACCTTTTGGGATATTAAATATGAATTAAACAATGAATACATTTACTGTATCTCCTAAAATGATGGAAACTAATAAAACATGAACAGAAGATTACTCCTTTATGGGTTGAATAAACTGGTGTGGCCAAACTAAATGACACACTATTAGAGATTGCTGGGGTATATATATATATATATATATATATATATATATATATATATATATATATATATATATAGGACAAACATTCAATAATTATTGAATACTTTAATGTTACTATTTTTTTTAAATATTGCAACCAAAATGTCTGTTTGAGCACAAAATATAGGAAAAAAAAGGAAAAAAAGACTGGACAACTCAATGGGATTTTAACCACTTCACCACCACTCTCTTTCCTGGTCAACCAGGCTTTGTTCCTGGCTAAGATTCAGGTATAGATTTTAGGTGATTTTGTTTGTTTTTCTATGGAGTACCCTAAAAACACATCCTGCATTACCCTATCCTGTTTATGGTAAGGGTCTGGTATGTATGTTTGGGGGTACCTCATGCCATCATTTGTGGAGTTTGTTTTATAGGGACCCCATTAAATAATCCATACCAGATAGTTAAGCAGGCTTGCAATCTACCACAATGACAGCTCCCTGGCTGGCAACTGAATGTAAACAAAAATGCCAGCTGATGTCATTGGCTAAATTTGGTCATGACCATATTTGGTAATGATATTAGCCCAAATAACTGCTGGCTGGTTTACAATTTGAACCAATCACACAGACAGGATGCAGGAAGCTTTATTTAGTAGCAGTAATAATACTTAGAAGAGGTGGTTCAGAAAAGGATCACATGTACATTGCAGCTACACAGAGTTATCTTGGTATTTCCATACCAGTTCTTTAGACTTCACCTTAAACCAAGTTATTTCTCTTTCTATTCCATCTATCAGTACCTGTGCATAGAAGTTGTTGTAAGCTACTTATTGCTCTATCTTAGTCACAATTTTCTTGTAACAGAAACTGTGAAGACTCAGACTGGAAACTAGTCTAATTTTACATAATAGTTTTGCTTACAACTGCATCAACCCTGATTCCTGATTGATGACTACAACTATTATTTTTTTGTTAAGTGGTCTCAGTCAGACACTAAGGGTTCATATACACTGTAGCTGATAAACTCACGTTTAGGAGCTGTTCAGTGTGTTTTTCAGCAGCCTTATAAGCATTTGCTTGTTTGAAATTTTTTTTTAACTCTTCCAGTTCTCGATGCTGTCCAGAGTCTTTTTTCATCATGAAAAATGCAGGCAAAGCATTTTCAAGGTACTCAAATGGACAAAACACTGAACACAGGATGTTTCTACCAAGCTTGTCACATATTGTAATGACCAATTCACACCTCAGACCTCTCCCACCCTTGGAAACAAAAGATATGTTAATGACATTCACACTTCAAATTCCTCATGAAGACGCCCTGCCAGGTGGCCTTAATGACTCACTCAACCAGACACCTTTGCAACCCTTGGAAACAAAAGAAATGTTAACGAACAACTCACACCTAAGCTAATCTCAACACATACTGCTCTCTCTGCTTCTACTCTCTGTATTTCTCTGAAACAGTCTGAAATAATTAATAATGTACCACTTTTCAGTGCATTCTGGGCATTTGGGAGGTTCTCCTGTGCTTATCCTTAAAAAACGCTTCTAAATGTAAATGGACATAAACGTGCATAGACACGCATAAACGTGTTATGTAATCGTGGCTAAACAGAGGTTTTTTAACCTAAGTTTTTCCAGCAGTCAGTTTCCATCATTCAGAAGCGTCCCGTGTACATGGGGCCTAAATCATTCCAGCCAGTAGGGTAAGATGGGGTGGGGTAGGAAGTAACTATAATATAGTGTTGATTCTTTAAACTGAGTTTTTACAGCTGCTATCTAGGGATTACTAGAGTGTTGTGATATGTGAGATGGAGAAATACAGAGCTTACAACAGCCTCTATGAATTTTACGCAGTGTTTCTAAATAATATGGCATCATCCTTTTTTCCTCAATTGGCTGGATTGCACCTAATAGAAAAAAAAAAGAATAATTCAAACCAATGGAGAAAGAGAGGATGAAGAAAGTAAAAGTGAAAGTAAAAAAGTGGCGTTTTAACAGCTGCTATTTAGAGATTTGTAGAGAAAAAAAGAGTTTACACGGCCTCTACAAACTAGATACTGTTAGAGTAGATAGCAAAAGGAATGACAGGGTTTACTTGAAGAATTTTCTTTTCTAATCAGTATATTTTTTTACCATGACAAAACAATTATATGCAATGTAATATTGTATTTTAATATGTTCTCATTTGCTGAGGGAGATCAAATGTGGGAAAAAAAAAAAACTGTGTTACTCTCTTATCAAAGCAAGATTTTGAAAATAATATCAATTAACATCTTCTGGAATTTAAATTTATGCTTTTAACATTTTAAGCCTGATTTCATTTGTGTCTTTTTGGGGGAATTTCACCCATGGGAAATCTCTCCAACCTGGAGACAGACAAAAAAACTATTTTAGTAGAGTTAAGAAAGGCATTTTGATCATTCATAAAGCAATACTCTAAACCCAGCAGCCTTGTAGACATTTCATGTAAATGTATGGAGTGCATTAATGAATTGTAAGATGGAAATATGATCATGTTGAAAAACATATCTGTGACAGATTCCTAACACCCCTGACTGGGTATCTATGCCAAGAAGCTGCTTCCCATGCTCTGGAATCCCATGCTCTGGAACATGAAGCAAGTGACCAGGGGCGGACTGACAACTCATGGGGCCCCCACGCAATAGGGGATCATGGGGCCCCTGTGTTCTTGCCCAAACTCAAAAAAGCCTATGAAAAAGGTACCAGGGGCATCTCATGGGGCCCCCTACTGACCCCGGGCCCTCGGGCAGTGCCCGAGTTTCCAAATGGTCAGTCCGCCCCTGCAAGGGACTGTAGCTACTCCAAAGAACTATACACCAGTTTTTGAAGCAAAAACTGCATAAATAGAGAAACACACTGAACGTATAGAGAAAACCATCAGATAAAAGCTAATCAGATTATCACATACAATGCCCACCTCAGACAGAAGAGCAGGATGAGAGAAGAGCAGTGTCCCGAGTCACACCAGAGACATACCAAATGTGGGGAGGAGTGGACACCGCTCAACCCCAGGAGTCAAACAGAATGCAGTGTGTTCTCTTAGCAAGCCTCAGCCATCATTCTGGCCATGCCCACTGATGCGTTTCACCCTACCCATTGGGGGCTTGATCACAGAGACTGGGTCACCGCTCCCCACAAAGTTAGTGAGAGAATGGAAAAAAAAAAGTAATAGAAATCTTCCAGCTAACACTGTGAGAATGAGAAGAAAAGAGGTCTAAATAGAAGGTCAAGAGGCTTCTTGCATAGCAAGTTTGCCATTATCTGTCTAAATTGGTTGATAAAAGACCTTCCCTTTCTCAATGAACTGTGGCTGGCATACAGCATATTTCCTAATATTTCATGGTTTTTCTGGCAGTAGGGTTGCAGGAGACTTGTTTTTTGTAACTGTGTTCCCTTGGCATCAAGTACATTGCCTGTGCCTGTTTAACAATTCCTTTTATAGTTACAAATAGGGAATTTTTAAATTGTATTATTTTAGTTTCAAATACAGTGCCATTTAGAGATAAATCAGCCTGCTCATAAATACTATTTAAGAACACGCATTACAAAAACATTTTACAATTGATTTATTGTACAAGTGTTCTGAAATAAATTATCTGCATGTGTGCTCTACAATTATTATGACAAATTCTCCTTGCTAATATAATTAAAAATAATTTTAACATACTTGACAAAAAATGCAATCATGCAAATAGATAACAGCTATGTTGCTCACAGATGAATGTTGAAATCATAGTATCAGAGGAGAGAGCAATCATTAAATACGTAATGTATAAGTACTTGTGCACTTTATATGTAAGTGGTTCAACACTTCTGAAATCTTCTAATATGTTTCTCTGAGAGCTTAGATACCTCTGTGGCCTGATGGTCCCTATAATTATGAGTAGGTGTCCCTTGCTGAAGTATGACTGCTGTTTGTAACTTTTGCTGTAGTTTGTGAGGTCTTTTAATATGCTTCTTCACTAAGACCTCACATACTACAACAATATAGTACGAGTGAATGCAAGCACCCCAATAATTCCTAGTCAGTCACATGACTTTCTGAAACACACAGGGTGCTTGTATTCTTTTGGTTGCATTACTAATCACTGAACTGCCTGGTTTACTAGCATGCATGTGCATTTCCACTGTAGGACAAAGTACCAGGTTAGTTCATAGACTTGAGCACCACAGTATCTTCACAATAACTTTAACTATTGTAAAACATTCTAAAATACCAAGGAAAATTGAGGAAGTACTACATATTTTTTTCATCTACATGGGGAATATGGGACACATAATGAATGGAAAGCAAGGAAAGAACAAAAGATTTAATTTTATTTTCTCTAAGTAGCTGTAATAACAAGAGCTTACTAGATATCACCTGAAAAAGTTAACAAATAACTGACAACACAAAAGCCCATAATATAACAAGCTCAGAAGGATTCATCCTTAAAGTGTGATACCAAAGCAGAAATACATTTAACACCAAAGGTAAGACTCATTTTATGCAGTCCCACAGCCAATGGTGAAAAAAAATCAGATTTATGACATCTGAATAATGCCAGATTTTAAAGCAGACAAGGGTGCTCCTTGGTGGGGGGAAACGATCTGTTATTTTTTCTTGTTTGAGCCTTCAGGTTAGGTCAGCTCTCAATAGAGTAGGTAGGGTTTCACAGCCAGGTATTTGATGGCACAAAATGTTCAGGCTCTATTCACACTGGACATTTTGATAATGCTGGTAATGTCAGCTGTGTAAAGTCACATTAATAACGTGAATTTTTTAGCATTGATTAGTGGCGTCTTGCCGTGTTTTTTCACATTTGCGTTTTTTAGAGTTTGTTTTTTTCACCAAAAATACTGGTTTGCCGTGATTTACCGTGATTTACTGGTTTTGCTGTGTTTTTTCAGCGTTAGACCATTTTACAGCTAAAAAACTCCTCTAAAAACCCACTAGTCCTGGGGGGTTTTTTCCAGCCAAAAAACAGCCCTGCCAAAAAACATTGATTACAGTGCATGGACACATAGGATAGCATGCTGGGGAGTTTACTGGCTGTAGAAAAAAACATAAAAAGCCAAAAACAGAAGTTGTAAAAACATCAAGTGTGCATGAGGACTGAGAGCATGGGAAGCAATAGATATATCTTCTGACAAATAAAGGATAGTAGTGTTATTGTTTTGTCTAGATAATCAGTTAAATGAGAAACCCCACCTATAGAGATTGTTTTTTCTTATGTATAAAGTCCTAAATTCTCCCTGTACAGATTGACAACTTTCCCTATGCTCTTCCTACCGCTTTGCACATGGGCAACTGATGCCATTCAATATGCCTGCTGATGTATTTTCTCTGCTTAGGTAGTCTAGGAGCAGAGTACATCCTGTCATTGACATGAAAGTTTGCACACTGCTGTACTCATGTTTTGGACGGTGCTATCCTAAACACCGGTACAATCTATGGGTGTATGCAAAAATAGAAAACTTATTTTGGCAAGAGCTGTTCCATACTGCTGTTGTTTTTTTTCCTATATTTTGGAAGGTTTTTTGAGAGTACCTACTGTACTCTTGTAGCAGTGCAGCTTTTACAATAATTTTCAACAATCCAGTGTTCTCTAAGCTCCAATCAACCTAGCTCTATTAGCACTACTATATTAGTTTAACCACTTCCTGCCCATAGGATGCCATATGACATTACTTAAAGGGGACTTAAAGGGGACTGGACTTAAAGGGTAGATTAAGGGATGATGCCTGCAGCTACAGGCATCATCCCAGTATCTTTTTTTTCAGCCATTTATTCCCTGCAATGTAAAAGCCATCCTAGTGGCTAATTAGCCACTAGTTTGCTTTTATAGGCAGTGGGAGGGACCTGCCATGCCTTTTTTCCAAAACTAGGGATGTTTACATTTCTTGTGATAGGAACAAAAGTGATAAAAAAATTAAAGGGGCGCTGTAAAAAGTGCCCCTCCCCCCATGCTTGTCTGCATTGGTGAACATAGGTTGCCTCTACATGTGTAAACATTGTTCGCACCACACATGTGAGGTATCGCTGCAAACAATACAGTGAGAGCAATAATTCTGAGAGCAATAATAGTGCTGTACCCCCTCTGTAGCTCTAAACTGGTAACCTGTAAAAAATTTTAAAGCATCGTCTATGGAGATTTTGAAGTACCGTAGTTTGGCATCATTTACATCACCTTTTATATTAATACCACAAATTGGGTTATATATTGTGTTTTTTTCCATTAAAGTTCATTAAAGTGTATTTATTAAAAAAAAAAAAACACCCAGCATTTTATTCTGTAGGATCTCTACTTTATATATATATATATATATATATATATATATATATATATATATATATATATTTTTTAGGCAGGGGCAGAGTTTTGTCATCTGATAACACACAATACCCCAAACACAGGCATATATAGCATATCATTGTCACCAAATGATATTTTCACAAATGTGATTAAACTAAAATTAGACTTTCCAAGAGAAATTATTGTGTAATAACTTATATGAGATTTTAGTGGTTTGGTTTTTGTCTACTTTAACCACTGCTACAGAAGTACTGCTACATTATGGCATGGCTGCGCAAAATCACGTATAGCTATATATGTGATTTGCATTTCCAGGCAGGGGGCATGCGTGCTGCCCTACCTGCTCCACTATCGACTGTTGGGGATTTCAGTCACCAGGTCCCGACCAGTGATCGTCAGCAGGGCTGAGAGGGGAGAGATCTGTGTGTAAGTAACACAGATCTCTCTCTTGTCAGCATGGATATGCTGCTTTGTTTCTCTCTCCACAGCAGAGAGATGCAAAGCAGCATGTCTCCCATGTAAAACACAACACAGTATACAGTAAAACGCACATAGTTAACCCTTTGATCGTCCCAGATGTTAACCCCTTGTCCAGTGTCATTAGTACAGTGTCAGTGCTTTTTATTAGCACTGATCACTGTACTAGAGTCACTGGGGATGTCAGTGGTAGTTAGTCAATTCCCACCCAATATCGGAATGCCCACCGCAGTCCCGCTATAAGTTGCTGATCACCACCATTACTAGTATAAAATAAAAAAAAAAATTACAAAAAAATTCCAGTATTTACCTCCATGTGTAGATACTATAACTTTCAGTAAACCAATTAATATACACTTATTGGGATTTTACTTTTAGCAAAGACATGTAGCAGAATACATTTTGGCCTAAATTTAGGAAGAAATTTGATTTTTAAAATGTTTTTATTGGATATGTTTTATAGCAAAAAGTCAAAAATATGGCTTTTTTTTTTCAAAATTGTTGGTCTTTCTTTGTCTTTAGCGCAAAAAATAAAAAAAAAATGCAGAGAGGATCAAGTACCACTCAAAGAAAGCTCTATTTGTGGAAAAAAAATGACAGACATTTTGTTTATGTATAGTGTTGCATGACCGCACATGTGTCAGTTGAAGTAACGCAGAGCTGTATCACAACAAATGTCCTGGTCAGGAAGGGGGGTAAATCCTCTGCAGGGCAAATGGTTAAAAAACTATGTTGTGTTCTTTGCATTGCAAAGCTGGGACACATTTCTTATGTACCCTGCCTGTGTGTACAGATCTTCAATTGTCAACACCTTATCTACGTTTTCTAATAAATAAGGTATTTTCTTTTTTTTAAGATTATAACTTTTAGCTTGGGGGAATAGCTTGTTGACAGCCCTTTAAAGAGTTGCTTTTTTTCACAGTACCCCATTGCATACTTTGAAAAACAAAAGTGAAAATGCTGTGCAAAAAAAAACCTCACACCCTCACCCTA